GAAAGGAAAACTTGAAATCGCATCATATGACCCCTTTAAGCCATTTAGATTATTATTTGAAGAATGTGAGCAATAAAAAAATTATGAGGCTGACATTGCTGGGACTTTTGGTATATAAACAAATAACTTTTTTTTAACACCCTAACAAAATACAACCTACAGTAGAAAATTACAGTTATTTGAACAACAATCTTACAACGAACGAACCCTGACCAATGCAATTATAAATCATAACCGGTATATCTTATTGCATAATAAAAGTACAAGCAATATTGCAAATATTATGCTCTGTAATGATAATGGTAAATCACAACTGGTATATCATATTGCATAATAAATTTAAAAGGAATATCGCAAATATTGTGTTTGTGCTCTGTCAGTGATTAGTACAAGACTAAACTTAACCCTGAGAATTCAGTAAACACTATTTACCTGAACTGAAATGCCGTTTTTTCTCCAAGAGGTGTGCTTAAATGGAGTTCCCTTTTCTTCAGAATCCAATCAAACCACTTTAAAATATTTAAATATCAGGTAATATTGGGAAAAGAGGTTAATTTAAACGTTTGCACATTTTGAGACTTGATTTAGAAATGTAAAAAGGCACAAAAGGTCTGTGTTTGTTACCTGTGAACGTCCTCCACATACACTGGTCCTTGTAACTGTCTGTGCTGAAGAAATACTCCTAAATCTGTCACCACATATCGACTAAAACAAATGGGTCACAAATAAAACAGACTTTCACATCAAGCAAATATCAAGACCTAAAGATAACATACTCTGACAACTAAAACACAAACAGTTACACTGTTTACCTACAACAGCTAAGTTAAATAAAAAAGGACTACAATTCAGATAATAAAAGACCAGAATGAAGTTATTATAATGTAAGTGCTAAACTACAGCCTAGGGTATGTTTAATTTGCACCTAAATAAAATATATCGAGCCAGTAAAGTTGTCTGCGTCACGTCTGTCCAGATCTCATATAGTCATATCCAGATCTTATATAATAGATTTGTCTCTCTAGAATAAAAAAAGTGTGAGAGAGATTTACGACAAATAAAGAGTCTATAATAGGAGACATGCATACATCTCATCATAACCTGCCATGGCGCAGCTTGACAATTCAGTCATGCTAACCAGCCACAAACGTTTGTTTACAACTCACTCACTTCAAATTCACTTCTCATCGTTGACAGTCTGGAGGCTTGTTGGTGACATTTCCATGTGGAGCTCAAGTTAAGCAGATGAAAATAACACTTGTTAGTTAACCTTGAAGTTGACATAGCTTCTAAAATTATGCAAGACTTCTTGTAGCGTTTATTGGCGGTGGGCAAGCCAACTTTTGGTGC